GCAAGCATACGAACAAACAAACATACATACATACATATAAACAAACAAATAAAGATACAAACAAACAAACAGACATACATACAAACATATTAACAAACATATATATTATACATACAAACAAACAATCATACAAACAGTACAAACAAGCGTACATACATGCATACAAAAAGTAACAGAAGATACAGCCATACAAACAAATAAGCAAAGATACATAAACATAGATACAAATAAGCAAAAAAACACAAACGTAAATACAAATAATCAAAAGATACATAAACATAGATACAAATAAGCAAAGATACGAAAAAATGGAAAGACAGATTAGATAATCGCGGATGGATTAACTCACCTGTTTTAGTTCTTTGGGTTTTTAATGACGTATTGTTTGTAATTTTTGTTGTTATTATTGTGGTTGTTGTTGTTATTATTATTATTGTTGTTTTAGTTAAATATATTATCGCCCTAAGTTAACCCCTAAATAAAAATGGCCGATTTAATTTTCTATAATTAGCCTATGAATAAAATGAATGAATCTTTCAATTAATTTGTTCACCAAAAACACTAAATAGAGCATTGACATATATATTTCAAGTAAAAACGTTACAAATAATCATTAGTGCAAAGATATATAAATAGTTGTTGGTTATTTGTTTGTTCTATGTCTTTTATGCGTGTGTTGTTGTATGATTGTATGTATGTTTGTTCGTGTGTGCTGGATGATTGCATGAATGAATGAGTGAATGTTTGTATGATGCATTGTTGTTGCTCTTGTTGTTTTTGTTGTTGTTGTTGTTTCTGATGATGCTGATGTTGTCGTCGAGCGTGTAAATATGGATGGGGCGATGTTTATTTGGGTTACTCTGTTTACATTTTCAAAATGTTAAAAACCTAGCGGCTGCTTTAATAATTGCGTTGTGTTTATGTGTGTGTGTGTCTGTGTATGTGTGTATGTTTAGATGTATGCATATATGTTTGTATCTATATGTCTTTGTATATATATATATATAAATATATATATAATAATATATAATAATATATGTATGTATGCATACAATAATGTGACAAAAAGTATGATGAAGCTAAATACAAAAGCGATGATGATGTTGATGATGATACTGATAATGTTGTTGCTAATGATGATGATGTTGTTGTTGTTGTTGATGATGATGATGGATGAGACATATGTGTCAATGAACTTTGCGGGTCCACGGCTGAATTACCTAATTACAAAAGGATTGTAAGTGTGGTTGTTTTTGTAAGAATGTATGTTTGTTTGTATGTTTGTATGTATGTATGTTTGTTTGTTTGTGTGTATATTTGTATGCTTATACGTATGTATGTACGAATGTATGTATGTGTGTGTGTGTGTGTGTGTGTGTGTGTGTATGACTGCGTGTATGTATTATTGCGTGTTTTTTGGCTTATTGTTGTTGATGTCTTTCTGGTTTTAGTAGCAGTAGTAGCAGCAGTAGCAGCAGTAGTGGCAGTAGTAGCTGCAGTAGTAGTAACTGCAATAGTAGTAATAGCAGCAACAGCAGTATTAGTTGTCGTCAGATTGTGCCATTTTGAAGAATGCATAATTATGTCTTTCAGCGGTCAATTAAAAAACCGCCATGTTTTTGCAATCCTATATTCATCATCATCGTCATCATCGCCATCAGCATCATCATTGTCTTCATCATTATTATCATCATCTTCATCTTCTTCATCATCATCATCATCTTCATCTTCTTCTTCATCATCATCATCGTCATCGTCTTTATCATCGTCATAATCATCAGCAGCAGCAGCAGCAGCATCATCATTGTCTTCATCATCATTATCATCATTTTCATCTTTCTCATCATCATCGTCGTCGTCTTTTGTCATTCATCTCGTGTCATAAACATGCTTGAGTAGAGGGAAAAAAAATTTTTTTTTCGGCGGATTACGTACAGTATTGGAAGTTCAACTTTGGAAATTTTTTATTTTGAAAAATTTAATAGATCGCAAAAATGCGAATGGAAAATTGAATTTTATAAAAATTGAAAGAAAGAAGATAAAAGAAAGAATGAAAGATGAGAGGGAAAGAGAGAGAGAGAGAGAGAGAGAGAAAGAAAGAGAGAGAGAAAAACAAAAAAAGAGAGTGATAGAGAATATAAGATAAGTTTTATCATTTTGACGTCTGGTAATGGTTATTCGAATCTCAAACGTTAAAAGCGTATTAGGAGAAAAATGAATGAACGCACAAAGACACACATACACACACGTACACGCACACACATACGCACACACACACACATATAAACACATACACGCACGTACATACACACACTTAAACACACATACACAAATACATACAATAGTTAAGATAAGGTATTTATTTATGCCTTAAGTAAGTAAGGTAACTTAATATGCTAATCATTACATAAGCATTTACGTCCATATAAATAATAATAATAATTTTTATATTATTATTTATATAGCTCTTACTATGAATTATATACAAGATACAAAAAATCATAGCTGTTTGCAAATGTAGTAATAATGTGTGTCTATGGAGAATGTTATTCAATTACAACGTCATACTCTCATTTGTCCATCTATCCATTTATTCATTCGTTCTTTCATTAATCGTTCGTTCGTTTGTTCGTTCTTACGTTCGTTCGTTCATTCATTTGTTCATTTCTCTATTCATCGTACTGAAAACAATCCAAACTGCAAACCCACCCCTGGAGTGCCATAAATACTTTGGACAGAAATAAAACATTACCGGATACATAGAAACAACAAAATAAACAGAAACATATACACCTACATACAAAAAACATACAAACATACACACCTACATTCAAAAAAACATACAAAACATACAAACATACACACCTACATACGAAAAAAACTTACAAACATACACACCTACATACAAAAAACATACACACCTTCTTATATAAAAACTTTACTAACATATCCATTAATTAAAACACACATAGATACATACATAGACACACTTACACACTCAAGCACTTAAACACACACACATACATGCATACAAACACACACACATACAAACCTATATAACACATATATACATAAACAAAAATTTAATTTCAGCTTTCCTATTTGAATGTTTTTTATTTCTTCAAAAACGCCATTAATCACATGTGTTTTATCTTCAATTAAAAGATGCATTATTATTATTTATTATTATTAATTTTATTATTATGACAATAATCATCATCGTCGTCGTCGTCGTCTTCTTCATCATCATCATTGTATAACATAACGTTCTAATAACTTACTTAGCTACGATAATAATTATCTTTTTTCTCTCGTTATTACAAATACTACTACTACCATTACTACTATTACTACTACTACTACTTCTACTACTACTACTACTTCTACTTCTACTACTAACTAATAATAATAACAATAATAATAATGGCGATGATAGTAATAAGACGAATAATAAAAAAAACCCAGATTTATATTCTGAACTGACGACCGCCCGGCTTCATCACATTCATGTTCATCATCATTTATCATCATTATCATTGGTGAAATCACCTCTCTCTCTCTCTCTCTCTCTCTCTCTCTCTCTCTTTCTCTGTCTCTCTCTTTCTCTCTATCTCTCTCTCTAATTCATTACGCGCCTCACACAGTTAAACGATTCCACGTATTTTATCTCTTCTTCGTTTCTTCCTTCTCTCTCTCTCCTCTAGTTTCTCCTCTAGTTTCTCCTTCTTTCTCTATTATTCGGTCATTTCCGTTTTTTAATTTTTTTTACCTATGTAAACATCTTTATTTTTATGTTCTTTTATCTTTTATCTTTGTCACTTTTTATCTCTCTCTTCCTCTTTTTCGCTCTTTTCATTCATTTCTCTCTATTTATCTGTTCATCTTTCACTCTTTTTCTCAGGTCACCGAGCTAAAAAAAAGTTCATTTCGTTTCGAAACCAGCTTTCTTTGACATCATCTTCTTCATCGTCGTCGTCCTCGTCTTCATCCTAATCACCCTCATCATCACCACCATCACCTCCCAATTAGATCACGTGATTATTTGTTTTGTTTACATTCAGATGGATTGCCATGCGTGTGACGATGAAGAATGATTTAAAAATACAACCAGTTCGTCAACAAAAACATCATCATCATCGACAACATCAACAACAACATCAACAGCAAAACGAGCAACTATGACTAAGCCGATATAAAAAAAAGTATTAGCTAAAAAAACAACGAAATCAACATTACATCAATATAACAACAACAACAACAGCAACAACAATGCACGTCAAAAAGTTATTCCTAGCCCACTACATTCTCGACAACTTCATAATCATCTTCGTCATCGTAGCATCTCCAGTAACGAACTCGATAGGTACGATTAATTCTGATTCCACTATTAAACAACTACCTCAAAAGACGAACAACGACGACTTTGACGTCGTCACGGACACCGATGACGTCATCAAAAACACTGATGACGTCATCAGTAGTAACGAGGGTGACGAAGGCTACTATGTTGACGGTGGCAACATCGCAAACAAAAACATGATCGTCATAGTCGACGAAGAATTTAACAACAACAACAACAACAACAACAACAACAACAACAACAATGATAGAAACCAAAACCAAACAACAACACCAACGCCAACTGCAGACAATCAATATTCTGAATTCGCGTTCTTCTTCAATACAATAGTCATAGGGGCGGTAACGGTTCTCGGTTTATTCGGTAATTTAGTATCGATACTCGTGATGCAGAGGGACCGACATAACCGAGTAGCGATATTTCTACTACAAGTCCTAGCCCTGGCTGACAGTTTTGTTTTAGTGATGAGCTTCTCTTTACTTACGATTCATTACGGTTATTTGAAGAAATATTCGACCGACGTCTTCAATATGATCCAGCCCTACATGGTTGTGTTTGTAAATCCCATAGCTTATATTAGTCACTGTTTTGTTATTTGGTTTACCGTTCTGCTGGCTTTGAACAGGTATGCCGCTATCTGCAAGCCCTTCCAATCGAAAGCCTGGCTGAAACTCTCAAGTACCAGAATCCAAGTTTTTGTTGTCTTACTAGCGTCTATTGTTCTCAATATTCCACGATTCTTCCTGTACGAGATCAAATACTGCTACAATGATGAACAGTCGAACGGTTTGAATGTAACCGAGACCTGTTTGAATGCATACGAGGCTTCAAATTTTATGTTAAACAATTCCAGTTATGTACTTTATCCGACTTATAAGCCGGCCGCTCTCTACAACAACCGCCACTTTTACCTTTACTACTTCACGGTTTTCTACACGTCGGTGATTCTGATACTACCTCTCATTTTGCTAGTCCTCTTGAACGTTCCACTCATTAAGCAGCTGCAGGCCTCCAAAAAGCAGATGAAGAACAACTGCCTCGTGTACGATGGCAAGAATGAAGACAACATAACATGGACGATGATCGTCATCATCCTGGAGATGGTCGTCTGCCACACGCCTGAGAGGATTTGCGAGATCGCCAGGTACGCTAACACGGGCTCCCCAGTCTGGTTCCTCATTGTTCAGAACATCAGCAACTTCTTCGTCATCCTCAACTCATCGACCGACTTCATCGTCTACTACGCCCTGCGAAAACGATTCAGGAAGGAGTTCTGGCGAAAAATTTACGGATGCGCCGGGGTTGAAAAAAATTTTTGCTCCGATGACGACCGCAGACAGAGTCAATCATTTCGTCCAAGTGGCGCTAGAGGTAGCCTCAAGGGCTGCACGAACTCGCAGCCGATGGAGCGGAACATGGAGTTGGATATGTTTCAGTTCAGACGACTCAGTCAGCCGTGCAAGATGTCCTCTAAGTTAGACTGCGACCAGGGAGATAACAAGATGAAAACTGCACCGAGGGCCAGTAAAAGTGACGAGGATTTGTTGGACAGGAGATGTCGGAACAGGTACCTGGAGTTGAAGTGGGCAACAAACTCCAACAAAGATCAGCTCAGTAATGAAGAGAACCAGATGAAAGAGTTGTTGCCAACAAACTCCAACAAAGATCAGCTCAGTAATGAAGAGAACCAGATGAAAGAGTTGTTGCCACAACAACATGACCACCAACAACCACAACAACAACCACAACAGCAGCAACAACAACCACAACAGCAACAACAACAACAACAAACAACGCACTGTCAGGTTTATCGAGAGTTAAATTCAGAAAAAATTAACAAATCCAACGAAAATAGCGAACAAAATTCAAACAACAACTACAAGGCTCTTTACGACAACCACTTGCACAACAACGACGAACATACGCCACTACATCAACAACAACAACTGCAACAACAACAACAACAACACCGCATACCACAACAGCAGCAAAAAGTGACATTCATTCTGGACGAAACGCCGAAATTGAATGGTGATTTGCCGAATAGACCAAACAACCATTTGACAAATGGCAGAATAAATGGATTATAATTAATTAATTAATTAATTAATATATATATTATTGCCACCACTTCATTCATTGTTTTGTCTATTATATCTATATACACAAACATACATATATAAATACATACACAACAGCTAAGTGAAAGATGTCATTTTCGCATAAATATTTTCCGTTGTTCCTCTCTTTAAACTTAAAATTAATTGTAATACACAATTGTATGTAATTATTATAACTGTTATTGTTATTATTATTATTGATCAGTGTTGTGAAAGTTACAAACAAATTTATTTAAATTAAATTAAAAATATACAGTAATAATAATAATAATAATAATAATAATAATAATAATAATAATATTGTTTATATTATCATATGATTATTTTTTTAATTATTTTTTAATAATATCGAGTAAAAGGAAACAAAAACCCAAGCACCACATACCAGTTTCAGCTTTTTTATTTACCATATTCATTCCCGAGAAGTTGTTAATACAATGAATGCAAAGTTAGCTCCGGAAAAATACGTGTTTAGTCCTCATGGCATCTCGAAATAGAAATAAGAGGAAGATAAGTTGATTGAGCGGTGTGTTGCAAATGATCAAATTATCACCAACACCTGGTTTGACAGTCACCCAAGCCGAAAATAGTTACTTAAATTATCTTTACATCTTTATTTAATACTTACTTAAATAATCTTATTTTATTTAGAAGTATATATATATATGTGTGAGTGTGTGTTTATTTCTGTTTTCGAAAAGCCATCATATATAATGATGTTAAAATAACATTTAATTCGCGCACAATATTTCTTTATGTTTATGTTTCAAAGAGTCCCGAAGACAAGGTGAGAAACATGACTGATCACATTACTTTAAATAGGCGATTTCGAAATGCTGTCTTACGATGCAAAGGTTAATCTGGAGCTGACTGTCTTAGTGATCGTAACCCATTTTTAATTGATTACTGCCACTACTTTTACTACTACTACTACTGCTACTGCTACTAGTACTTCTGCTACTACTGCTGCTGCTTCTGTTACTACAACTACAGCTAATACTAAAAATATTAATAAAGACCCAGTATTTATAAATACTACATTACTAAATCATTATCTAGTAAAAAGATTCATCTAATGAGGATGATAATACATTGCTAAACTTAAGCACACGCAGACTAAGTTTAAAGTTCAAATCTTAATGAAACAACATCATAACCTGCAAGTTAAGTTATATAACATATGGTAACAATGGCAACAGTAATAATAATGATATAATGATAATAATAACAATAAAAAGAAGAAGAAGAAGACGAAAAAGAACAAACAAATCATTGTAATAGTATGACTAAAACGACAAAAAAATAGGTTAAAAGACAATGTAAATGAAATTTGTGTATGTATGAATGTGTCTGTGTGTGTGTGTGTACTGTGTATGTGTGTGTATTTACGTGTATGCGTATGTTTGCATGCATGTGTGTATGTATATTCTATTTGAGACTTGGATGTTTCGATTATTTATATAGCGTTTAGTTTTTGAACGAGCGTTTAATGTTACAACTAGTTGACTAGAAATATAAGACGCTCATCAAATAAACAGTGCCTATATTTTTCAATGGCGCTAAAAGTGAAAAAATAAGAAGAAAAATATGCCAAATATTAATAGAATAATACAAAAATACAAAAAATATACAAAGATACAAACATGTTCTTAAATGATACAAACAATATACAAAGTGTCACAATGAACCACGAAAAACTTCAACAAATTCAAAAAACTGAAACATATAAAAATGACGTCAGTACGTAAAAGATCATAGATAGAAAATAAGAATAAATGTGATTGGCAGATGAAATAAATTAATTTTTAATCATCTTTTTTTGATTGGCTGTTATTTTTGGCTATAAATTCCTAAATATATCATAACAAAAGGAATGATTATTATTCTTATAATACTTATAAACATAGCCACAGTAACAACAACAAAAACTCACCAGCTTACAAACAACAGCATCTCGCCAGTCATCTAAAAACAATAAAACTTCAATAAAAACTCCAAAAAACATCGCGAAAAAACCGCGAAAATCAATGCAAATGGACCGACTATTCGCGAGTATTTCACCGACACATCCCTATTATACCGACAAGTGATGTTGACATTCCTGAGCATCGGACATTTCCCCATCTGAGCAAGTGTCGACCTAGCGATATCGGTATGGGCGCAAGTACCGTTAATTATTCGGTAGGATCCGGAGTTTACGATACTGTTGATTGTTATTTATTTACATAATTAAAACTTTTTATAAATTGTTTTTTTGAAATAACAGAATAAAAAACCACCAAAACTGACCTCTGAGTTATCTTGCAGTTGAAATTAAAGAAGAACGTGTCTTTGTACTGCTTCCAGTTTTCAATCACCAACAGGAAAAGGTTCGTTTTGGGGAGAGCAGTCACGTGGTAATATCCGGACATGCACGGTCCGGATACGTTTCCAGATATAACTCCGCTAGGTCCTGTTTATTTAGTTTTTTTTTTATAACGTGTGGTTTACGACGATGTCTGTGGTGATTAAACATCTGGCCCAAAATTATTCAACCGAATATCAAACAAATATTACCGAGCGCCGATTCCATGACAAAATATTCGACAACGTCAGTGATGCACCCATACTCGTTCGTGAACTTCGGTATCGGGCCCTTGTTCTTGTAGTAGTTGTCCAGTTCTTCTGGGGTCTGCGGAATCCCTTCTAAAGTAACCTAAAAAAATCAAAGGTCAAGGTTAAACACGGCCGCTAAATAAATAAATATTATTATCGTAATTGTAAAAAATTATTATAATTATAAATAAAAACCTTGGGCGCGTACGGAGAAATGCTGCAGACATCTTGAAAATCTAGAGACTCCTTTCTCTGGAAAAACCCATGTTTATAAATAAGTTCCTTCATTATTTCACCTTCTTTTTTGCCCATGGTCACCCCTTTGTACTTCCTCTCGTCAAGGTCGTTGGCCGTCAAGAAGTCAGGGTCAGTTATCATGTTGGCCCGGTCATCGAAGAGGTAGCATCTATTTTTAGATCAGGGTTTTTACGGATTTGTTGATTGATCGTTTGGCTGGTTGTTTGTTTGAATGGTTGATTGAATGATTGAATGATAGATTGATTGATTGACTATTAAAGAATTGATCAAACAATTCGAAGAATAAAAATATATTTTTACAATTTTTTCCACAATTTTCATTAATTTTTTTATATTGTGCCATAAACCATTCACACACACACACGCGCACACGCACGCACGCACACACACACACACACAAACTCACAAACACACACACAGACATACAACGCACATAAACTACACTAAAGGGCCTAAATATTTAAACAAAACAAAAAATCCCACCTCGTCTCGCACACCTCTTCTCCATCAGGACACAAATACGTCTGACCACATGACCTCTTGCCATTGCTGGCCTGCATGAGGGCCATGGTGATCTCATGGAATCGTTTGTAGAGAATGTCGAGACTCGTAACCGCTTCAACTCGTTCGGTAGCACATCTCGGTAAATCCTTGTTCGGTCCTGGGGCCACGCTCAAGTAGCATTGGGCTGTTTGCGTGTTTGTGTTTGTGTGTGTGTGCCCGTGTGTGTGTGTGTGCGTGTGTCCGTGTGTGTGTGTGTCATTCTGATTTTGTGATATTAGTAATGATGGTAATAATAGTAGTAATAATAGTAGTAGAATAATAATAAGAAGAAGGAGATGAGGAGCAAAACAAACAAAGCAGGACCCACCACTGACGCAATCTTCATCCTTCTGGCAAACACAGCCGCCAGGCCACGGACCAACAGTAGAAATAGTTAAGCACTCCTCTGTGGTCCTAGAGGTCATGCCCTCAAACAGTGCCCTCGACAGGGTAATAATCTTGCCGACCCCTGCTGAATCGGGGTACGCCGTGGAAATGGCTGTTTTCGAAGGGGCTTTGTTGGCCCTTTTATACCAATCTCGACTGTGAATTTGTATGGGTATGTGCGTAATTACACAACAAACATACAAACACATAAATACACACATACGCAAACAAACATATACAACATACATACATACATACGAGGTTGGGTCGTAGTTCCGACGAGAACGGTGGGCCGGATAAGTCCTGAAGACCCCGCTCCTCATGGCCACATACGTCCATTTCACGTCCTCTATGCCGTCGAACGACCTTGTTCGCCACAGCTTCTCTACCGGTTGCGATATGAATACGTCTGCTCTGTGCAGGTGTATTTGTTTGTTTGCGTGCGTGCGTGTTTGTATTTGTGTGTATGTGTTTGTATTTGTGAGTTTGTTTGCTTGCTTGCGTGTATATGTATGTTTATATGTGTGTGTATTTGTCTGTGTGCCTGCGTGCATGTACGTGTGTTTGTTTGTATTTGTATCTGTGTGTATGTGTTTGTGTTCTTGTTTGTATGTGTGCTGATGTTTGTTTATATGCGTGTGTATGTTTGTGTAATTACTAACATCCTAATAACTACATGTTCTTCACATTTACTTACAACGTTAATTAAATAAATGAGTTAAATTTGAAACAGCAGGGCCCGCCCACCTCAGGCCCTTAACATATCTTCCCCCCTTGTCACAGCCGTCATCTCCGGTCTGGTTGTTGATGTAGAGGTGGGCATCGACGGTCTTGCGGGCCAGATCGTCGTCATAGAAGTAGGAGTTGGGGTCGCAGTGGCACTTGGGCGAGAGAAAGATGCTGGAGTGAAGGTAGGAGACACGCAGACCAGGAAAGCGTTTTTCATTTTCTTTCACCTTCCGGGTTAATAAATAAAAATTAAAAAATAATTTAAAATTGAATTAATTTAAATTAAAATACAAAAAATAAATATAAACAAACAAAGAAACAATTTTTCAACCTGTAAATAATCAAACACTCCTTTCAATTCGGACCTGCCCAGAGTTGAGTTGTATTCAATGAGCAGGTTGAAGAAACTTTTGTCGTATGTGTCCAAATTTTTCGGCTGCTGTGCTCGTCTGAACACCTTCAAATTAAACAAAAATTGAACCAATAAATTTAAAACGTAGGCAGCGCTATCGTGTGATTGTTAAGATGCCTGCCGCTGATGTTGCGATAGCCGGGTTCGATTGCAAAGAGATCCCCGACTATGTGTGTGTCAGATGCGTTGTATATATGCGTGTGTGTGTGTGTGTGCCTGTCTGTCTGTCTGTGTGTGTGAAAGTTTTTTCAAGAAATTACTTTGTCCGTATCTGAAAGACTGAACGCAAAGGCGAATTCCGAATCGTCGAGAGCTGCATAGTAGAAGGTTGCCGCCGTGTATTCGCCCTGTATTTTTTAAAATTAAATTCTGACGTATCACATATTTTATTTAAAAAATACAAAAATGTTCAAAACTAAACATGATATAATGTAAATCTAATATAAATATAATATAAATATATTATAATATAATAAAAATTTAATATGAATATAAATATAAGATTATGAAATCGAATTTTTTTTTTTAATTTACTTTCTTGCGTCCGGGACGCGAGTGAGGAATGATCAAACTGCCCGTCAGACCGGCTTTCATATCTTTCACTATTTTCGAGAACTCTTTGGGGTTGCCCTCTTTGTCCTGCTCCAGTTGTTCGATCGGTATGAATATCGGGTCTGCAACTAACTGAAAAAAAAAAATTCGAATCGAGACGTCAATCCTTTCCATACGTCAGCTGATCAATCCATTCATCCATCCATCTCTCTATCATGATATTCATTCATCTAATTTTTATTTTATCTATCCCCTCTTCCATCCATCCATCAGTCTAGCCATCCGTCCATCTAACTAACATTCTCGCTGGCTTTCAATCTCGGATGAAAAATCGTCTCACCGTCGGTATTCATGAGAAACGAATATACCGAGCCCCACTGATGTCGATTCAGAAAGTTTTCAATATCCTCAACAGTTGCGTCGACACCAACGACTCCAATGACCTTTCCAGTGACCTTGCTGATGCAGGGTAGAGCTCTAGTGACAATCAAACTGAGACCCCATGAATCCAAGTAGGGTGACGTCCATAGGCCCTCGTCGGTTCGCGAGTTACTCGACAGGAAATCGAAATAGTCAAACATTTGGGAGATGAGGTTGACACCTGTGCTGATCTTTTTGAAACTTCCTCTGTGGGGGCAGGAAATTCTTCCTGGAAACTCTTCACCGTCTTCTACTGTCAAGTAGCTGAATATTCGTGTCTGTGTGTGTGTGTGTATGTCTGTGTGTTTGTGTGCCTGTGTGTCTGTGTGTGTGTGTCGTCGTCATCATCGTCGTCATCACTGACGTCATCGTCACCAGCGGCGTCATCATCGTTGTTATCACAAATTTATTACACAGTACAAAACCCAAAAATTAATTTTCATAAGAATCCTAACAGGCGGTGCCAGAAAAATGTCGTGTTTGTAGTTGGGATCGTTGGCAGTTCGCGTGTATTTGTTCTCCTCATTCAATGTTGTTGTCGTTGTTGTTCGTGATTTATCCGTTGTGTCGTTGTCGTTGTTGTTGTTGTTGTTGTTGGCAGTGAATTCTTTTGATACTTCAGCATCGTTGTGTTTCTATAGGTGTTCAAAGGACAACAGGTTTTATAATCTTAGATTAAATTGATTGTGAAAATAAAATTGTTATAGATAGTTCGTGAAAAAGAGAGAGAAAGAGAAAAAAGGAGAGAGAGAGAAAGAGAGCGAGAGAGAAAGAGAAAGAGAGAGACAGAAAAATATAAAAAAAAGAAAAAAACCTTTTGATAGATGATCCTGGTATCAACCATCTGCCAAACTTTTGTCCAGTTATATCTACAAATTGGCCCCGCGGTGAAACCGCTACGGGAATATTGCCCTAAAAAACCAAGAAATGCGTACAACATTCAACAAATTACACGCAACCCAAAATTAAGTATCTGTTCTTATCCGTTACATTTTACCGATTGAAATTTTCTTTCTCTATCGAATCTTACCGACCCGGTCCGCATCGGACATCTTCACCGTCGGTATCGAGGCCGTCGGTAACGAATACGATGATGCTCTGACAGCCGGTTTTTGTTCGGCCGTTAAGTAGATCGAATGCCAGCTCAAATCCTCGTCTGGTAAATATTTCGGTATTTTTTTTTTTGGTATAAAATTACATTTTCATCATCATCGTCGTCATCATAAAATAGAAACAGCAACAGCAACATCAACATCATCATCGCCATCGTCGACGTCGACGTCATCAACTACGTCATCAACTACGTCATCATGATCATCACGTGACTAACTCCATCTCGCTGGTTCCTCCTGGCTTCAGTTTCTGTATTTTGGCAATGAGGTCTTTCTTGTGGGCTAGCGTGGCCTGAACCATGTTTTCCGCCTGGCAACTCAACACTTCCGTCCTATATTCGTGCCATCTGTCGTAATTATTTATTATTATTTATTATTATTATTTATAATTATTAAAATGATAAATAATTATACAACTAATATTATTATGATCAAATTTTTAATAATTTTTCATTTATATTCAATCAATCCATTCACAATAAATGAAAACCACATTACAATAATATAATCCGAATCGCCATGATTTATTGTAATTTATGTAAATGTTTTAATTTATGCGTAATTACTTTCCGACTTGGTCCCAATAGCTGGCCCTGGCGCAGACCACATTAACATAATCCATGCGCGTCAGTGTGTCAATCACTGCTTTGGCTATGGCCTGCGCTATGCTAAACTTTTCCTTGGACCCCATTGATGAACTGAATAAATGAATGATTGATTGAAAGATGGAATGAATGAATGAATGGATAAATGAATGAATGAATGGATAAAAGAATGAATGAATGAATGAATGAATGATGAATGGATGAATGGATGAATGGATAGATGAATGAATAGACAAATAGATTGACGGATGATTGGATGGATAGTTGCAATTTAATATAATTTCAACTTCTAACAACAACAACAACTACCCAACAACTAACCTACAATCCAGAATGACGACAACATCCTTTGGGCCACTGGTAGCAGCGATGTACCACGGACGCAATCTCGGATCGTAATCGTCGTAAAAACCGGCGAAGTTCGTATTCCATTCCCGACCCGGATAGATACGGACTAGGCCCGCTGTCGATCCGAAATACTGCCATCTTGCGTTGAAAATCGACGGTTTCAACAATTTATTTTTTTAAATTATTGATCATTTTTAAAAAATTCAACAATTCTTGTAGACGTGCCACAATAATTTGTTTAATTTATCAAAAAATTTTTTTTAAAACAAAATTTTCATGAATAAGAAATTTTATTTTTTTTTAAATTTAACTTTGAAAATTCAAAAACCCGGAAACACCTAAGTTGCGGATCTAGTTTAGAATTTTTCTTGAAGATATCTTCGAGCCCTGCCGACCAGGCCACTGTATCAATGGTCTCCCTATCGTCCCTCGGAACCTCGTCAGAAATTTTCACCGTCGAACTTACGAAACTGACCGGCTGTTTGAAGTAGCTGGTAGGAAAAATTTCGAAATAACTTGAAACAATTGAGATGTCGGTGAATTGTTAGCGTTATGGCTGAAAGGGTCTATGATCCTTTCTTGCAATGATGGGGTTTGTTATGGCTGATGATTCGAAGTAATTCCTACTAGTAAATCATTACTATTAATACTTGAAATGTAAAGTAGAAAGAAAAAATAGTTTGAAAATTTCACTGACGGACTGAAAATCAGTTGATCCGGGAATCTGGAAGGGATGTCAGAATCTCTATAGATGGATTTGTTGAGCGTGTACAACCTGCTCTGTCCGCTCGTCCAGTTTCTCAAGAGTTGCCTGTCGTACAATTCTATCACTTTTTCAGCCAGAGCCTGCAAAATATTTTCATAAAATTTGTCTGGTGTTTTGCATCATCGACAAACGACGAGAACATAGCCACACGCGGCGCGTGTGTGAATTCCTCGTCAATGAACGACCACACACACATCCACTGCACACTATGGTAGGTATGTTTTAATTAATATACGCTTTTAACAAGTTAATAATATCAAATTACAAACATAAAATGTTATTTTAAGAATGAACTTTGAAGAAATGAACCTTGGCAACTTTTTTCTTCTTAAGGAAATATTCTCCAAGGCTTGCCTTGACTTGCTGAACCAAATGATCACCATCCTTATCTTCGTATGTGTAGTTGGCAGAATCGAACAGACTTTGAGTGTATTCTCGCTTTATTCCATCATTTGCGAGCTGTGATCATTTTATACACCATATTACTCGAGATTATTTTATAATTCATAGTTCAATCGAAAAGAATTTTCAATTAAATATCTAAGTATTGTAATGTAAATGTATTGTTTAATTTAACGAATTTTAATAGCGATTTGCTCTACGGTTAATTTTTTTTAAGTTTTATTTATTCAAATTTAGGCTATAAAACGTGCAAATTGCCACCTGCAGGATATAATTTTGTATCATCATGGCCCAGTTTTGGACGTCGCCGGACAGAGTGCCAACGTCCTCTTTCGAATAACTATAATACCCGACTGGCTGAGTTCGGTTAAGATATGATAATAAATAAATAATAATTACGAAATGATAAGTCTTCATTGTCTTTTGATGATTTATAATTGTTTAAATTTGGATTTGCATAATTAATTTCGTCTCGAGCACCTGTATTGCTGGCTAGTGCCTGTTGTCAATGTACACAGCAGACAGCTGATTGATGTTTAAAAGTGATTTTAGAATTAAATTTGCAGATGAAGTTTATTTTGTTTGTATAGCAAAACTTTTTAATTAGAAATATAATTTTAGTTATAATTAATTATAATTAAAAATAAAATAAATAATTAATAAAATTTTTCAAAATTCAATATAATCTAATAATTGACATTTACACTACGGTGTATAAGCCGTAAATGTACTTTAGGCATTATTTGTTATCTCTCTTGGTGAAACTTGTTATCGAGTTTACTTTTATTATTGTTTGCTTTAAATTTTGTCTCGAATTGTGTCTATTTTGTCTAAAAATGCCGCTAACCGGAGTAGAAAGAGCCGGATTGACCGTCATTATTAATTATCTGCCTATAGAGGATAAATTCTCTTTAGCCAAAACTGTTGTCAATAATTTAATCACGTTTGAAAACGAACAAGGTATTTATTAATAACTTTTTTTTATTAATTTAATTAATTATAATTAATTCAATTAATAAAATATCAAAATATCATTAAAATTGTAATAAATTTATTTTTTATATAATTTTTAAAACAAATTTTTTAACTATATTGTCTCAATTGTCTAACTAAGTAAGAATTCATCTTAAATTTCTGTTTTATTTACAATATATATTTTTATTGACCAGTCAAAACTTTTAAATTTTATTTAATTTTTCTTATTTATTTTTATTCTATTTTCATTCAGATGCAATATCCGCCATTTTGTCTTATACACAAAATCCTATGGATTTTTTTAAGAGAAAAAAGGTGAAAAAAGAACTAATTTTCAGATATGCCCACAGAGAAGGAATCCCTAATTTGAAACCGAGTTTATCTAGACTGGACATAGTTAAAGCTGTTCTAAACTATTGGGGATCAGATTATTCTGTTGAGGTTTCATTCTTGTTTAACTTCTCCCAGTATAAAAATGTTTATATTCAATTGTCTTAATAATTTACCAGTTCAGTCCAGTTGTGTAAAGTACTGTTAACTTATTGTTTTTTGAAAGCTAAACTTTGATTCAAGATATTGTTATTATTTATTATATTCAGAGTTGATTTTTAATTACAAATATTTTTTCACTCAACAGCAAATGGATGATACAGATTGGAATGATACAGTTGATACATTGGATGGTATCATGCCAGTAAATAATGCAAGTGAGATGGTGCCAGTTCAACTTCACAACAACCAGCACAACATCTTCCAACCTGGAGTGCAACCCAACAACATTTTCAGTCTCACACAGTCTCCAACACAGCAACTTCAACTGCCACTAACAAATGAACAACAGTTAGCACAGGATACTGTTGCACATTTCAACACTGCAGACAACAACATTTCTGACAGATTCAATTGCTGGTTGGACAGAAACCTCATTCCCAGTCTTGAAGACCGACAACTTGCTCTCGAATTTTGTAACTGGTATTACCCAATACTAAACAGCTATGCCTCAGTTAGGGATGACGTCATCGACATCTCGCCATATTTTCCCGACTGCAATCTTCACTTATTAATAAAATCCCCAGCCGGTATAAATTCAGAAATGTGTGAAGGGTCTGTGTGTGTTGTTGGAAAATTAAAAACATTCATCTACGATGAGCAGATCAATTTTAACCCTAATTTGAATGAAAAAGGTCTCAGATGTTTGTCTGACCAATTTGGCAGAAAGGCAATTATTGTTGCTGGCACAATACATCAAGGTAGCAACGTTGGTTTGTTTGAACAGCAGTTAGGACTCGTTCGAGATCCAGCAGCTGAATATAATTGGAAGATCAAATTCTCTCGACTCGCAGTAACTTCGAGTTTTTTACCGAATCAAGAAGCCATTTTAGAGAACACTCAACTTTTATTAACTATGTGAATCGTGTGTGCTGCGATGTTGCTTTCATTATCCTACTGTGAATAATTTGTGTTACCTGAAATTTTTCTGTTTTGTTTGTTTAATAAATATGCTTCAACCAAACTTCGGTTGGTTTCGCGCATTGTCTGATCGATGCTTGGCACGTCTTAAGATTTTGAAGCGCTGGTAATTAATGAGGTGAATGTGCGTTTGTAACTTCGATTAACTTTCACGCAAATGTCTTATCAAAATCAGGTAAAAAACCTAAAATTTTAAATTCGATCTTTCTAAATAATTGTGCAATTTAAAATTTTATCAAATAATTTAATTGTTTTCTAATTTTGTTTTTTATCTGAAATTTTCACTAACTCCAAAAAATTTTCCCAGTACGGCCATCCGCCACCTCAAAATTACGGCTACGGCCAGCCCCCACAAAATTTTGGCTACGGCCAGCCAGGAGCACCAGGAGGGTACGGTGGAGGTGCATATGGACAACCAACTGGTTATCAAAAATGTTTCATTTTTTTGTACTACTTATTATTATTAAAACTCAAAAATAATTTTGGACTACTAGTTATTTATTATTATTGTTTAAAATGTTGAATATCTTTAGTTTAAAAATAAAAATGTGTATAACCATATGCCAGTATTTTGTTTTGTTAGTAAAACTAATTTTTAATCCATGTCACTAATTGACTTTTAATACCAGCTCCACCTGGGTTGGACCCCCAGGTGCATCAGTGGTTCCTGTCTGTTGACCATGACAAGAGTGGTAAAATAAATATGCACGAGCTTCAACAGGCACTCACAAATGCCAACTGGACTCATTTTAATGCTGAAACTTGTAGGCTAATGATTGGTAAGAAGTCACATCTCAAATATTAATTAATTAAATAATTTATATAAACTGTAATTAAAGGAAAAGATGACCATTGATTCATTAAATATCTTATACCTAATTTAATCTTATAAGATTTATAATGTTGTTCTTATTGAACAAACAAACAAACAACAATTGCAGGAATGTTTGACAAAGATCAAAGTGGCCAAATAGAGATGAATGAATTTCAGGCACTTTGGAACTACATAATTCAGTGGAAATCAGTTTTTGAACAGTTTGATAGGGATAGATCTGGATTCATTGATGCTAATGAGTTGTGTAATGGTTAGGAATGTGTGTGGGGCTTTCGGTCAATCAATCAAATAATTAATAAATCAATTTATATACTGCAATTTGTAAAAATTCAACTGAGCTTTCCATAAACTAACAAAACAATAGGTTACCTAGTTGTAAAAATAAGGATTTATAAAATAAACTTGCATGTAACAAACTCAAAATCATCAATTTATACTTAATTTTTTCAGTTTATTAATTAAAAAACAAATTAAACCCAAATTTAATGAAATTTTTTTTATAGCTCTAAACACCATGGGTTACAAAGTCACCCCACAGTTTGCCAATCACGTGGTCTTTAGGTATGACCCCCAGGCCAAGCAGAGGTTAGGACTCGACAATTTCATACAGGTCTGTGTCCTGATCAAGTCAGTGACTGACATGTTTAGGCAGAGAGATTCTCAAATGAAGGGAACCATTCAAGTGGCCTATGAAGATTTCATGACTATGGTTATGCTGAATAAACCATAGTATGATCATTTTTTCCCCCGATTTGTATAATTTTTTCTATAATTTTAATTAAATTTATTATATGATTTTTTAATAATCGATGTTTATGATTATATTTTAGTTAATTATTAATTAAATTATTAACTATTAGCTTATTAAATGAGAAATAGCTTATTATATATATAAATATTATATATATATATAATATATATTTATATATAATATTTATATTATATTATTTATATATATAATATATATTATATTTATATTATTTATATATATTATATTATATTTATATTATTTATATATATAATATATATATATTATATATATATTATATATATAAAATAGCTTATTATATATATATATACACCTCTTCTTTGTGATTGAATTAATGAATTACAATTAATGAATTTAATTGTAAAAATAAATGGTAATAATTATTACGATATTAATAATATTTATAATAAAATTCTTGTGTAAATGAATCGAGATTATTACATAGATGGATGAATGTTACGTATCGACAGTGTGCATATTTGTGTGTGTGTGTGCGTGTGTTATTGTCTTGAACACTATGTATGCTAAATGTTGATAAAACAATCGACGTTTTCTTGAAAAAATTTATATATTTTTTATAAAATATAAGATTACACACACACACACACACACACACATATATATATATATATATATATATATATATATATATATATAATACAGAAAATACACTAAATGCCCTAAGAGTATATCGTTAAAATGCGTTCTTATTTTATAAATTAATTTTAAAAAAATACGAATGAACATCAAATACACTGTTTATATATATTTATGTGCGTCTGTATGTATGTGTATATATGCATGTGTGTGTGTCTGTCTGTATGTATGTGTGTGTATGTGTTTGTATGTATGTAAGACAGGAATGGTGAATACAAGGTATAAATAAGGCATATATATTTTTATCACTACATATCTGTTTAGGATTATTGTCATTAGTGCTGTTATTAATACGTTTTTTTAAATCGTTCCTTCGTCGATCCCTTCATTCATTTACTCAGTTCTTCATTCATTTTATCATTTCTTCTTCATTCCTTTACTTGCAAAATTCATTCATTCTATCATTTTCATTCAAATATATATATAATATATAAATAATATACAAATATATAAATATATATATGTATATATATATATATATATAAATTAATTCTTACTCAATTCCTATATATATATTTATATATACAATGGTAAAAATAGTAACATAAATGACAATAAGATAATAATGAGAAAATGAAAATTAATTAATATTGTAACAGCAGGTAGCTGGCTGGAAAGAGAAAATGTAAAGAAATATAAATCATTTAATTGAGAGATAAATTAATTAGCTAATTAGCTAAATATTAATTAATTAATTAGCTAAGTTAGGGTAATGGCGATAAAGCAGCGAGAACATCGTCGCCATCATCATCTACATCATAGTCTAGCTATCTCTATTATATTATCATTGAAACCGTCATCCTCATCATCGTCTTTATTATTATTATTATTATTGTTTTTAGTTTTTATTCTGTAATTATTCTCAAATTCGACTAAAGATGATTTAGGCAAAGCCGAAACATTTGAATAATACGAAGATCGGATTATATGTCTAGGGTTATTATTGTTGTTGTTATTGATGCTATTATTGTTGTTATTGATGTTATTATTGTTGTTGTTATTGATGTTATTATTATTGTCGTTATCGTTAATGACATTAACTTGGCCTCTATATTTATAACTGTTGACACTGGTTAGACTACTATTATTGCTCGAGTTGTTGCTATTATTGTTACTTGTGTTACTGTAGTTGTTATTGTTGTTGTTACTGATATTAGAAGATAATACTCTCTGACTTGCAAATGACGTTGACGTTTCTGTACTGTTGTTGTTGTTGTTGGCTTTGTTAATGCTGTAAGTGTTGTTGTAGTAACTACCAAAGCCTGTTACATATTTGTTGTTGTTGTTGTTGTTATTATTATTATTGTTGTTGTTGTAGTTACCACTATCAGAACCAGAATTCGACGTCCCAAAGCCAGAAGCGCTATTTATAGCATCCGCCTTCCGATTGGCCGATTCAAACATGGCAATCGTATCTATGATGGATCCCCGCTTCTTATTGGTGGACAGAGACAAATGCTGGGGCTGTTTCGACATCATTATGTTAACGATTTCAGAGTCTTTCGCTTCCTCTCCAGAGTAGACGGAGTAGGCGGGATTGGGAAAGTTTCCGGATTTCATAGAAGTCGGAAATGGGTTGTTTTTAAATAGTGATGAATTGCTACCATCATGTGATATGAGAGAATTGCTGCTGTTGTTGTTGTTGTTGTTGCATGTTGGATGGTACGGCGAAGAGATTCTTTTGTTGGGTTGTTGTTTTGTTTGGCAGTTGTTGCGTTTTGTTGTTGCTGTTGAAAGAATGAAATTATTATTCGTTGGGCTCGGGCTGGCGTTACTTTGGGATCTTTGATCGAGTTTAGATAGAGATGAACCAAAATAATCTGAAAAATTCGAGTTTTGTTGTGGTTGTTGTAAAAACTGTTGTTGTTGTGAGTGTTGATGTTGTTGTGACGGTGAATTATAAACATGCGACATTGGAAAATTATCTAAACTTTTCTTTATAAATTTTGGCTGATGTGATTGCTGTTGTTGTTGTTGCTGGCCTGTTGGTGGCTTAGATTTTAAAATATGGCCCAAATGTTGATGATGATTGGGATGTTGTTGTTGTTGATGGTTTTTAATGCCAGCATCATCAGCGTTTGACAACGGTAGCATTTCTGTACTGTTCGCCCGAAAATTATCGGATTTCTGTGTTGTAAAATCTGGTTTTAAAGTTGACAATCTTTTGAGAGGTGCTTTTAGTATTTGTTGTTGTTGATTTTGTTGTTGTTGTTGATATTGTTGTTGATTTTGTAGTAGATTTTGTTGTTGTTGCTGGAGTTGTATTTGAATATTGTTGCTGAATTTATTATTATTCGTTATAACCTTCCCCCTTACTAATTTAGACTTCAGTGACCTACTTTGGCCGACATGGTCTGAATACTTCGCATCACTTTTATCACTTCCTCTCTTCACGCTAAAACTAACATATCCATCAGCGTCATCATCATCGTCGTCGTCATCATCATCAGCAGCAGCATCATCATCATCGCCATCTGCAACATCGTTATCATCATTAACATTGTAGCTCTTTACATCATCGTCGTTGAGCGTTTCAGATGATGACAGTGATGTTGTAGTTGTCAGTCGGGTATTCTTATCGAAGCCAGAATTTGAGAAATGTACGACACCTTCTAGAGATGACTTTGACGAAATTTTTGACGAGGAATTGCTACTACTACTATTTGATGCCGTTTTTACGCTGTTGTTGTTGTTGATGACGTTGTTGTTATTGTTGCTACTGTTGTTGACTTGTTCATAGGAGTTTACGTAAAGAGAGTTGTATGTGTTGTGTGATGCGTTGTTCAAAGAAACTGTGTTGTTGTTGATGTTGGCACTGCTATTGTTGGAATCATTTATTGTTTGTGGATGTTGTTGCTGATGAGACTGAGACCTATTGTACTGGTGCAAGAATTGCCTGTCGAAAATATATACAAAAATATTTCTTGATAAATTTTGAAACTTAATGAATACAAACATCGAACAACGAGAAAAAGCAAACCAATTAAAACTATCAATTAAATACAAACACCAAAACTTCAAAAAAATTCCTTAAAACTATTTTTAGAAACGCAAAAAAACCCACCACCTACCTGTTTTTAGTAACACTAAACGGCTCGAAGTGCGGGTGAGTGATCAACAGTTTTTTCTGATTTGACCTCCGAACTGCGATCTCAAGGTCGTGTTGAATGGCCGCTTCCACGTCGTCAATCGACATGTCTCTATGTGGAGGTTTCAGACGACCCAACGACGGCCCTGGAGAATAAATTACAAAATAATTATAAAAATAATTTGTAATCATAATAATTAAATATAATTTCGAGTTGCTATAACCTGGCTCTGTGTTCAGTCGAAGCACAATGACCGCAATATTCTCCTTCGATCCGTAACTCTCGGCCAAATCCATGAGATGCTTCGAGGCAACGACCGGATTGCCAATGTCGTAACATTCTTCTACCGCCTCCTCATAAGGAACAAACCTCCAGAACGAAGAATTCGCGATTATGACGAACTCATCGTCGTTTTGCAACTGCAGACTGGCGCTGAAAGGATCGGGAATGATATGCGGATAGAGGTGGGCACATCCCAGGAGTCGGGTACACTGTGTCACCCCGTTAACTTTTCCATCCTCCGTAATAATCCCGTCAGACTTGCAGACTCTCTGCACTTCTTCGTGGTCGCAAGTCGCTACGAATTTTCGCGTGAGGAGTACGGCTTCGCCCTTGCGACACAAAACAGCCTCAACATCGCCGACATTCGCGACGGTCAGTAGAAAGCCAGTCGCACCGTTTCTACTCGATGTTCTGCTGCGGTCTGCGATGTCGTTGCTGCTCGTGTCGCTACCACTGTTGCTGCTGCTGTTGTTGTTGGTGGTGGTAGAAGTAGTGTTGTTGTTGTTGCTGTTGTTGAGGGTGTGGTTTGATTGTTGATGAGATGAGGAGGTGGACGATTTTCTGATGTGACACAATGCACCGGACATGCCCAGCTTCTGCCCGGTCTGTTTGAGATTCCTAATAACAATCATAATAATAATTATAATAACAACAATATTAAAATATAATACTAAAATTATATTATTATTAGTAGTAGTAGTAAAAGTAGTAGTAAAAGTAGTAGTAGTAGTAGTAGTAGCAGCAGTAGTACAAGTTTAAATTTTTTTTTATAAAATTAACCTGTGAGCTGTTAACATTGAGTATTTCAAGAACTTTTCATTGGTAGTCGGATGGTTTATTTCGTCTGAAATGAATGAATGAATGAACGAACGAATGAATGAATGACTCGGACCATTTTCATCCCAATCACCGTCACAAAGACCAACCTACCTAGTACAATCTGATGAACTTTCTTAGCTATGAGCTTCGGCAGTTCCTGATTGCGACCCCCGTCAAACATACCAACCAGGCAGTCTCGACTGTTGTTCAGGTCCAAATGTTTCACTATCTGAATGCATAGTCTGTTGTGGTGGGGGTGGTGACGTAAATACACAACACACACACGCACGCACACACACGCACGCACATATTCACACATACAAATTCACACGCATATACGCACGCACACATGCATACTTATTTCTGGAGCCAGACGATTCAGAGAATCCAACTTTCCACAATGGAGCGTTTGGATCTTCCGGATCCAACGTATTGACGCTACTCGCCATGTTAGAACCTCTTGATTGATTGAATGATTGATTGATTGAATGAAGGAATGAATGATTGAATGTATGAATGAATTGAATGCGAAAATAAATGATAAACGGTAGACGGGATTCTATTAGATTTCAAACCAAGAAAATTTTACAACAAATCAATTAACTTAATTATCAATCAACCAATAAATCATTCATTCAATCAATCAATTAATCAGTCAATCAATCAATCAGTGAGTCAATCAATCAATCAACCAATCAATCAATCAACTTTTTTTTCGTGAGTCCAGGTAACTTTCTATTCTGTCCGGACGAGTCAACCAGACAGATGCTTTTCTTGTTTCTGAAAATATTCAAAAACAAATTTGAAAAAAAAATCAATCAATCATTCCTCAATCAATTAACCAATCAACCAATTGATTGATCAATCAATCAACCAGTCAACCAGTCATTCAACCAATCAACAAACCGGTCAATCAATCAACCAATCAACCAGTCAATCAATCAATCAGTCAATCAACCAGTCAATCAACCAGTCAATCAACCAGTCAATCAATCAATCAACCAATCAGTCAATCAACCAGCCTGATAGTTTTGAAAAGTTGCGGGTCCATTCTCAGTTGGTTATTGAGACCGATATCAAGAAGGTTGAGCTGGGACGCTACTAGATCAGATACGGATATGTTGAGTAACTGATTGTGTCCAACATCCAAAACCTTGTGTGTGTGTGTGCGTGTTTGTATGTATATGTGCGTGTGTCCGTGCGTGTGTGTATGCGCGTGCGTCTGTGTTTGTTTGCTTAAGTGTTTGTATTTCTGTATGTGTCTGTGAGTTTGTTTGTTTGAATGTATTTCTGTAAGTATGTGTTTGTTTGAATGTTTGTACTTCTGTACGAGTTCTGTGAGTGTATGAGTGTGTGTGTGCGCGTGTACTTCAAATGAATCCAATATGGATATATGTAGTATAGAGATGAAATACAGAAAGAAATTAATATATCAAAATTCATATCAATTTTTAACAAAATCTGCCAAACAACGTCATTAATAATAATGGGAGTGCTTTCTTATTTCTATTTTAAAAACATATACGGAATGAAAGAAACAATAACTGAAAATTAAAATTTAAAAAATATATATATATATATATATATATATATATATATATATATTGAATAAAATTGAATAAAAGTGATTTGATATATATATATATATATATATATAATAAAATAGCATGAAATTATAAATCATAATTCGTCTTATAAAAAGAATGTGTACAACGAGAGAAGATTAGTCCTAAATGTGCTGAAATGACTATGACCACTACTACTACTACTACTACTACTACTACTACTACTACTACTACTACTACTACTAGTACTACTACTAGTACTACTACTAACACCACCACCACCACCACTACTACTGAAATGATAGTGATGTTGCTATTAGAATTTCTATCACAATAATAATAATAACAATAATAATAAAAATAGTGACCCTGAGTGACTTGGCATTTTTGAACTCAGGGAGAGATGTTAGGAAATTGGAGTGGGCCCTGAGGACGACGAGATTGGTCAGGTTACCGATGGACGAGGGTAGAGCCGTCAGCTGATTGGACGATATATTTAGCTCTTGCAACAATTCCAGCCTTTTTATATCTCTGGTTTTGTTTTCATTGTGATGTCGTTATTAATGTTGTTGTTGTTGTGGGCGTTTTGATGTTACTGTTGTCAGAATTATCATCGATTTAATCAAAATCAGGTCGTCATCATCTCTTTCTCGACCACCATCATCAACAGCCTCCTCCTCATCACCATCACCGTCATCACAATCATCATCGTCAAAATCATCATCATGACCAACTCGTCAAACAACTCGGTGATCTCGTTGCAAGCCACGTTCAGAGACTTCAACCGCGTGTACTCGCAGACGACTTTCATGACGTCATTTCCGAGAAAATTTCCCGCCAAATGCAGCTCCTGCAGACGATTGAGGTGCTTGCTGCTGTCGTCAAGTTGAGGCAGGCGTTGGATCAGCGTCCGTGAGCAGTTGAACAGTATTAATCTGTCGCCAGTGTCGTCGTTGTTGTTGTTGTGCATGACAATAACATACGAAAAAAACAACAACAACAACACACCAAAGAAGCAACAACAACAACAGAAAAACAAAACCTGGGAAACTTCTGCAGTATGAAGTTCGGTAGCTGGTGGATGTAGTTGTGTTGCAGCTGCAGCTCCTCCAGCGACGAGTCGCAGATGTCGTCGGGCAGGTGCGTGAGGTGGTTGTGCGCCAGGTTTATGTGCGTTAGTTTCCGTATGCAGCTAAATAATCTGCGTGTGTGTGTGCGTGTGTGTGTGTGCGTGTGTGTAAAGAAATTTACGTGTGTATGCGTATGTATGTGCAAATTGCAGTACATATAATTGAGGAAAGCAGTACGAGTAGTAATACACCAGCAGTAGACACACAGCAGTACACCAGCAGTAGACACACAGCAGTACACCAGCAGTAGACACACAGCAGTACACCAGCAGTAGACACACAGCAGTAGAAACACAGCAG